AGGGTTTCAGACTTGTCCTGAATCTGGTAGAGTTCTTGGACCAGTTGGAATGAAAAAATTTTTTGAAGTTAAGTCAGGAAAGGAAAAGGAGCAACTTACTGTGATGGCCTGCTTGAATGCAGCTGGGCAATTAGTTGCACCTATGGTTGTATATCCATTGATGCGTATATCTAGTGATATAGCCCACAACGTTCCAGCAGATTGGGCTATAGGAAAGTCTAAAAAAGGATGGATGACAGCACCTCTATATTATGAATATATAGTAAATGTATTTGATCCATGGCTAAAGAACAATAAGATTTCGAAACCTGTTTTACTTTTAATAGATGGTCACCGATCTCACATGACTTTGCAAGTGGCAGAATATGGCTCAAATAACCAAATTCTAGTACACGCATTATTCCCAAATTCAACACATATTACCCAGCCCGCTGATGTATCACTTTTCAAGTGCCTGAAAAGTGGTTGGCAAAACATCGCGTTTGAATACAAAAGAAACAGTGGCAATAGACACATCACTAGAGCTACCTTTGCGCCACTTCTTTTAAAAGTATTCAAAGAGAAAGTTACGCCAGCAATCATTTCCAATGGATTTAAAAGATGTGGGATCTACCCTTTTGACCCTTCTGCAGTTGATTATACCAAATGTATGGACCATGAAGTGCGCAATGCACCAACACTTGCAGAGACAGGAGGAGTAGAAACAATTCTGTTGCTAGAATCTTTTATGCGAAAAGGTCGAACAGAACAATTTAGACGAGCCATAAAAGATGAACAATGGGAAGGTGACGAATCGGCTAAGGAACTATTTTACGTCTGGAAAAAACTTCGTCAACATTACCTTTCTTCCACATCTTCTTCTCTTCGTGAAGCATCTATTCCAGAAGGTAGTAGTAGCTGTTCTGTTGCGCTTGTGAACACAGAGTATGAATTACCTACTAATATATCCCCATCACTCTTACAACCATCGGTAAGCGCTCAAGTAAGTAGACGAACATCTACAACATCTCTAGAGATGGAGATGATTGTTGTGACTGATCAAGGTAGCAACTCGGTATCCATTTCAGAAAATAAATTAGATCAGCTTCTAGCGCAGGAAGCATCAATTTCAACACCCACTCCAGAAGCTTGCGATTGTTCCAAAGATACTGCACCTGTGGCCGTTGTAGATGACATACCTGTTAATATGCCTACTTCACCTTGTCAAAATCCATCTGACGCTCCAGTGAAATGGCAGACATCTGCAATTACTCCAGAGGCAGAGATTGCAACAAATCAACAAGGAAGCAACACAGTTAACACTTCTAAAAATAAACTATTTCAGCTTATGGCCAAAAAACAAAAACTAATAAGCCCTGCTTTTGGTAACCATATTTTGTGGCCATCAGACTCCCCAATAAAGAAAAAAACTAAGGAACGCCTGCCACTTGCGGTGACATCAAAATATTTCATAGATTATTTAAAAAAAAAGAAGAAGAAAAGCAAAAGAAGTTAGAATATATAGAGAACAGAAAAAGAGAGCGAGATGAGAAGAAAATAAGTAAAAGTCAAGTAAAGAAACCAAAAGTAAAGAGAGCAGTGATACGCTCGCTCTCCTGTGTCTCAGAAATAGATATAAAAAAATGTAAAGTCCAAGGCAAAAGAATGAAAAAGAAAACAAACAGTCTCATTATACGGAGTGATAGTGAATCAGACGATAGTAACATAATTGATACAAGAAATATAAACAAAGAAAATGAAAATATACAAACAGTAGGATCTGAACCAGATTCCGAAGAAGAATTGTTAAGCGTTTTATCTGCGAAGAAAAAAGGAATATGTAAAGGAAATTATGTCATCCTCATATATGAAGGACAATATTTTCCTGGGCTTGTTGAAATATGTCGACGAACAATTTTTTGAAATAAGCACTATGAGCTTTTCCGTGGCAAATACATTTAAATGGCCAGAAAAGCCTGATAAAATCTGGTACCATCAAAAAGATGTAGTGGAAGTAATAGATGCACCTGTGCTCTCTAACAAGAGAGGTTTTTATGTCGTAAAGGAAATGGACAAATACCTTCCATTTACTGTTTAAAACATGTAATATTATGTTGATTTTCTTCTCAAGGTTTTGTTAATTTAAATTTGACTATTAAAAATAATAATTTTCTTTGTAAATTTCGTTTTATTTACATTTCACTGTATGGTCAACTTATGGTACATTCACGGTCAGACTTTGGAGTTTGCTGGTCAACTAGTGGCGCATTTATATATTTTTATTTTATTTTTTGATATTCTGAAAAATGGTTCCAGTTAAATAGTAATATTTATATCTCTAAACACACTAAAGTTCACACAATCATTTACTATATTTAAATTTGATGTAAGTAATAAACCAAGTCTGGGATATTCGATATACATCGATGTTAACAATGCGATACATTGAATCCGATTCTTTGAAGATGTATTGATATACTCGATGATGTAAAACATCGAAAGGATGATAAAACCAGTTAATTTAAAAAAAACTCAAGTTTGAATGGAACACTACAATTTAAAAGTAAAATAAATTTATTCAGCAGCACAAGATTACATACAATTAAAAATACAACAAAATACTGCAATGTGCTTCTGAAAAGGCATACACTCAGCATTAATTTTAGTTAATTTCGATTTTGATTATTCTTAAACGTTAATTTGTGTTTATAATTTCTATTGTTTATTTTTAATTACAAAAAGTATGAAAATAAAATATTTAGGGTGTTTATTTTGAAATTAATTCAAAAATTAGGAAAAAAAAGGGTGCGTGTACTTATGTACGCGCGTAAGAAGTTATACTTCTTTGGCATTATTAAAAATAGTTTCTGATTGCATGCAAATAATTAATTACAATTAAATAATCAAAGACTGGAAAAGGAGTCATTAAAGTCAATAAAGTTCAGTTTACATTTGAAAAATTAATTAAATAAATATTTATTATTATTCTCTTACATTAAACAAATAAAACACTATTTATCTTTAAAACATTTTTATTTCATTATACTATTTATTTTTAAGTGACTCTAATGTCTTCATCAGAATTTCGGTTTGTAATTTTAAATTAATCATTACTTGGTTGTGCATCTACGAGGCTTCTCCAAAACTACTTGCTTTCTGCAACAAATAAGAGAATATTAATTTAAGCTCTGTCCATGCAAAACTTAAAATTTTTTATAATTCATATTATAAATTTTTTAACACATTTATATTAATATAATTATATAAATGTGTTAATAATATAATTTGTAGCACATGCTACAGACCTGGATAGCAACTTTATTTTATTCTATTTAGAGATAGAGATAATTTAAATATAATACCGGTGTCTTCCTTGTAGGTTTCTTTGGAGTTGTTTGGGGATTCTTGTTGTTCAGTTCAACATGATTTTCTTTAACCTTTCTTTAATCCTACAAAATAATGAAATTGTTAAGTTATGTTGTCACTGTTGTGCACACCTTTGTTTGGCTTTTTTAGTATTCAAGTTATGTCAAAACTGATTTATTACCTTGTCATTGTTGGCTTTATTTGCTTTTGGGATATCAATTGTTTCCAAAATGATTTTATTTGTAATAACCTGAAATATATAAATAACATCTATTAATTTTAGTATCATGGTGAGTGGTTCGCACTCAGGTATTAAGGTGTATTATACCCACTGTCCATTATAAGTGGGAATGGGCTCACTTCTGGCAGGACAGAGTTTCGGTACTACAAGTGCAACATGGATGTTTTGAGGTATTACAATATCTCTAACTACCCTGTAGGGGAATAAAGTAATGTTGTAAGCATATGCCTATGCTTGAAAGGTTGAACCTTGAACATCACCATACATCATATTTATAATTAACATTCCTACCTCGACACCATCACAATCAAATTCATTGAAATCTACTTCAAACCATTGTGTCTCGAGAAGGTGATGGTGGCTTTGTTCCACCTCCAGTTTTTGATGTTTCACGGCGATAAGATGACAACTCTTTTTTTGTATTCAATTTAGTGCACTTCCACTGATTCATCAATTGTTTTTTGTCTCTTGTCCTTATATTTGCTAGATTAAATCTGATGTTTTGATTAAATAATGTGGTCATTTTTTTGAGATGCAGGTACTTATTAAAATGTTTACTTCTCTGTTATATCGCTCCAAGCCTTCATTTTCTCCTTATTAGTATTCGTGCTTATTAAATCTTTGTTCTCAGTTATTGATATATAGGGTCGTAGAATATTTCTAAAAAGTTGCTGTAACAAACGCAATAAACAAAAGCAATGAATAATGGTTCATGTTTCAGTTTTAATCAACAATAATACTCGATAATACATACGGATAGTTAACCTCAATTGTATTGAAGCACTCAGGAAGGTTAGCACAGTTTTTTCACAAATATTTTATATTATTTCACAAATATTTTGTATAATGAAAATAACTAGGTATATAATTATTAATTTTAAACAATAATTAAAACTCCTATATTTGTTTAAAAGGTAAATGTCATTGTCAGATGTCAATTGTCATGGTCATTCAAAATTCTTGTTAAGCTGCTAAGCTAGAATATGCGTGAAGTTAGCTTCACGCATATTCTATTTCTTTTTACTTGTAGTTTGTCTTATTCCCATCTCGCTCGCGCACGCTATATCACACTGCCAATTTTGTGTCATAGGTGCGCGCGCAATCGTAAAATTTCACTCTCATCAATTTTTCATAACGCGCCTAAAGAAGTACAACTTCAAAAATCGATTAATAAAAAAATCGATTATTTTTTTAAGAAAAATCGATTAATAAATATCGATTTTTTATGCAGAATGTCACATCCCTAATTTGAACCTCTATTGAAATGACTTATAAAGACATTTCTGATTTATAAATCAGACAATAATAATAATAATCTTTTTTTATTTATTTTTTTTAAAACGTCAACGGTCAAACAGATTGACTTGTAAAGTCAGCAACGTCAAATTATTTTGTAAAATAATTTTTTAACAAAATGTCGGTTTTCGATGGTGAAATTGAATTTCAATCAGTGTATATGGTAGATTTTGCTAAGAAAAATAAACCGTAAGTTTTTTAAAGGATGTCACGGCTTGCCTTATAAAAATCGTATGACAGGTGTAATATCCTGATCACTTATTGAAAATTGAAATCGATTAATTATAAAAATCCGCACAATAAGCAAAAATATAAAATAGACATGCAAATGTTGTGTTCATTTTCATAATGTCATAATAATAAGTTAAGTTATTTAGTTTAATGTCAAAGTTATGGTCTAAATATTCTCCCAAGCTATATAGGTTCCTTACCTTTAAAAATTTAACCACCTCCCCGTGAAAGCATTACATGGCAGAGATAACTTCTAGGAAGGCGATTAAATAGTTTGATAGCCATGGCGTAACAATATTTTTGACACATCGTGGCGCAAGATGCAGTACCCACACCCGTGTTCGTTCCCTCGGTTCGGGCAAGCAAGGAAATATAATTTACTAAATTTTTAGAAAAAGTCCACGTCGCAAAGCAATAGACGACGATTGTCTTATCGTCGGCCTTAGTCGTGATTCCCTGAAAGCCAGAGACCAGCCACGCAAAAGTCCGGATGTATTATGCCCTATTAACTTTGAATACTACAAGGAGGCTGTTGAACGGGTAACTCGTAGATCTGTGATTGATATTAAAACGTTCAATGACACATTATTGATAGCCCGGTTGTGTTAATACCGCACTTCGAGCACGTAAAATCACAATTTAGTTTTGTTTATTTATTTACAAAAAATATATCAATTATAAGCTAATACGGTACTGACGAAAAAAGACGAAATTTATATAGATAAACAATACCGCTACTGTGAACTCGCTGCGAACATATAGATGTCGATAGTCCACTATCAGTTATATTATATTATATAAATCAAGGCCGTGCTAATGCCGCGTCAGCATTAAATTTAGATGCAAACATTTTTATTACAGTTAGATAAAATATTTATATGGATGACATTTTTCTTGAAATGTTTATAACTTCCACTGAAAGTTTTATTTATCTCATATTAGTTAATAAACTACTGTTTATAACAGGTGGACTGAAAATAACATAGGCTAACATAGAATCTTTTTACACGCTTTATGTTAGCTTCACCTGTATGTATGTATGTATGTAACCGACTCCTTCGGACTCGATTGACCCACTTTAAACGGACAGATTTAATTCAAACTGTACACTTATAAAGAATCAGCGACAATATAATAATTTCATAGGTTTATCTCGAAAAAACAATGAAATTTTTTTTAAGTCCACAAAGCAATACGATTAAATTGAGACAACACGTATTGCTGCTAGGACTAAAAAGTGGAAAATAAATATAGTTTAAAAAAACTATAAAACACGCTTTTAAAGCACATACACGTGGGGCATATTTTTCGTCTATCGAGCAACCCACGCTTTTTCACAATAAAACCAGTATTTTTTGTTCATTACCATTTTCAGCCTAAATTAGGAATTATTTTTCACTTTTTAGTTTGATGTGGTTTAAAAGCGTGTTTTATAGTTTTTTTTAAACTATATTTATTTTGATAGAATTTCGTTTGATTATAGTCTTCGATACAACGATTATAGCGGTCATACATAATTGGATACCATTTTCATAGTACGATTTGTGTTTAGTCTCAAAATAGGCTTCAGTTTCGATTACCTCTTCATCAGCGCAAAATTTTTGTCCAGCGAGCATTCTCTTGAGGTCTGTTTTTTTTGAACAAAGAAAAGTTCCTTCACACAAAATAATATAATATATCACCGTAGACGGACTATGGTATAGACCAGGCATCAGCGTACAGCGTGTGAGATAGCGAATGATTGACATATGTCGTATTTACAGTTTTAATTCATTGAAGATTGCTTATTATTGACCAAAATACACATTCGAATGAATAATTCTTGAACAAAGTTACTGAGTCGTGACAAATAAGCTACTTACCGATGAAAGTTTATGTTTGGTTCTTTACGTTCACTATAGCCTTTACAGCCAATTATGCAACAATTCACCATGACTGACACTTTAAATACACCTCTTATAAGGATAAAGTCTTAAAATATGGATTTGACTTGGGTTTCACAGATTTATCAGTAAGCGGTGAAAACTTGTTTACCACCAAGGGCTCGGTGGTAAACAAATAAAACCCGATACGCAAATAGAGACAGAAAAACTGATACTTTGTTTCGCTCGCACTTAAGTATTTCACGTTAATGCCTTCTCTTTTTAGTTATTATTGTTATTTTAGAAGCTCATCTTGTTTTATACTCTATCTACGTATATCACCAACTAATAGTACGACAGCAGTCAATTTTCTACATGTGTCTTTTGAAGGTTAGGGAAAACTTATTTTATACTAGTAGCGCCATCTATGTGGCAGCTTACGAACTTTTCAGTCCATCTAATATTTAAGATAGAGAGTCAATTTGCTATATTTTAAAAGCTTTAAGTTTTCAGCGACACGTATTTAGTAAAACAATATTTTTATTCAGTTTGGTGAAGACCATCCAAGAGTCACTAAAAGATACATGACGAAGGATGTCGATCCAACGCCAGTAGACCACGAGATCCAGGACCTGAAGAGGACTGAGTATTTAACCAAATATTGTTCCAGGGGTTCGTATACATTTACATCAAACTCAATATTCATGTAGGTAAACAAGTACATTAATGAATTGTCAGAAAGAAGTTAAATTAATTGTAAATTTACATTAACTACCAGTTCGCAAGTCAAGGGCGTAGAGCGGGTAAGAAGAACTGGCAAGAAACTTTCCGCCGCTCTTTTTAATCGCCAAGTATTGTCATACAAATTGTTTGAACTGGAGCAAATCAATCCCAAGGATTAAGATCATTTAAGTATTCCTAAAATTTATAAAAAAGCTTTATTGATTAATTTTCGTTTAACGAGGGCTTTGAATTTCTTTAGTGATAATTCTCTAATTTCGCTTGGGAGTTTGTTGTAAAAACGATTACAATTTCCATATAAGGAGTGGTTTATCTTTTAGAGCCTGGTTGGTCGTACACTCAAATTAGTTCTATTTCGCGTATTATACTGGTGAAAGTCACCATTTGCTTTAAAACCGTTTATATTTTTTTGGATATACAAGGCTTCAAGAATATAGTAACCAGATAGTGTCATAATATTTAATTCCTTAAACTTATTCCGTCGGAGAAACAACAAATACCCCGAACAGCCCGCTTCTGCAGCACAAAATCGTACGATAGGTTAGGATTGTAGGCTTCGAAAGGAAATGAAGAGAGAAGACAATAATACAAAATTCAACCCAGGCCTTTTATTTTTTAGCTGATTCCGTGGTTTTGTGGTTAGCAGATCTTAAGCGCGATTCCGAAGTAGAATTGTTTTCTATTTATAGGCAAATTTACACATATTATTTATTCAGTGATGTCGTTAGACAATTTTGTATAGTTCACTAAATACCCGTCGCAATCTTGGGATTACAAAATCTCAATACTCTGATAGCTATTGTAAACTGTAATATAAAATATCTTCAGAACTGCCGTTCATGTCTGTGAATCTGGCGAGGCGTGCGCGTGCGCTGCAAACGCTGCGGCTACCGGACGACATCTACATACCAGACACGAGCCAAAAGGGCTCATACCGCCCGCCCAAGCCGGAGAAATATGCGGAGCCGCCCTCCGCCATGTCTATGAGACCTAAGTTTGATCCATCATTGACAAGTATGTTGAACATGATTTTAAAAGTAACAAAAACTATAATTAAGCATTAAACAACTTGACTTAATGTCCTATAACCCCTAGTTGGGGCAGAGGGCGTCCACAGTGAGTCTCCATCGCGTTCGGTCTTAGCCTAGGAGCCTCGTATTTTACCTCGCTCCAAGTCTTTCCGGCTCTCTTTGCCTCGTCTGCGACTGTACGGCGCCAGGTTTGCTTGGGACGGCCACGCTTCCGCTTTCCTTGCGGGTTCCAATCAAGCGCCTGCTTGGGAATATGATTGGAATCCCTTCGAAGTGTATGGCCTATCCAATTCAGCATCAAACAAAGCATTAAACAAACTACAACTTAATATTGTAAATAAAAAATACATTATTACTACTGCTTTAGAAAGTCAAAGCGTTCTGCCTTGCGATTCTGTAACTCACGATTTGGCATTCTGATAAACAATAAACTACAAACCTTATCAGAATGCCAAATCATAAAATGACTGCTTCACGACTGATTTGAGCGCGACCGCCGCTGCGAAAACCGCTGTGTGAGTTCGAAAAGTGAGTTACAGAATCGCAAGGCTGCTTATAAATATTTCCTTACACCCTTTTTGGTAAGAAAATGTCTACACATAGGAATTGTAGTTGCAAAACCCGAAAAAATTGCCATTTACGCAGATAAGTCGTGTTCGTACGAACATAGAACAATTATTGTGAATATCTTGTCGCATGCAGAGGGATTCTTAAAGTATTAACGACAGCAAATAGGGGCTATCTATCCGCCCATTAAGAAAAGCGTGCAAAAACAATAAATCTAGCTGCCTCCGCCGACATTCCATTGAGTCTAAATTAAAATACGAGTATTTGTAAGAATCTGTATAATTATCGAAATATTGGTACTGTTTAACATTAAGGAATACAACAAACTTTGTCTTTTATATAGATCTAAATTACTTTCTTGCATAACTGTATTTTACATTAATTATGTTTATTTACAGAGGAGCTACGACGCATCTTGCGTGTGCGCACAGGCGATACAAGTTATGGCGTGACTCACGATCTATTAGCTAAAGTGGTACTTGAGAAGAATCCCTTTGGACCACCTCGCGAAGAGCCCAAATTTGGTCGTTGGAAGAACAGATACTTTTACACTTACAGAATTTAATAATTTTGTATTTAATTTTATTATGCTTACTACTCGTCCGGTCAATATAGACATTTGAAATAACAAAAGTTCCCGGAGGAGAGTCAAAAATTGGTGGAGAGCTTGGGTTTACCATTACAAATAAAGTATTAAAAATACCCATCGATCCTATGTGTGCCACAAAAGTTTACATTTTTATGTCTAAATTGACCGGACTATACATGTGTGTGAGCGTTTTGAAAAGCTTTAGTAAATAAAAACATTATCGTCTGTCATGTATAGCCATTTCCGAAATATTTCCCTCCCCCCCTATTCATAAACGAGTCAGATTTATAGAAAAAGTACGGTGAACTTCACCTACCTATAGGTACTCCAAACTATAGGTAGGTCTTGGACCTTAAACTCTTCGGTCTTCTAGCTTAACCGTTGAATGGCCCAAAGGCCCCAGTGACTACTCTGCTTGTGTTTTGTGGCCAGTTCGGGCAGAGCCCCTGCTGGCGGTGTGGTGGTTTCGCGACCTGCTGATAAAGGACAGCAATGGCACTGGCACTTTCTATCAAATCTACGCTGTGATGATGTCAAATGAGTAATTTCGTTAAGTGGTGTGTTTAGAGGAATTAGTAGACACTATGGGCTGATGAGATGCGAATTCGCATGCGAATTTCTGCGATACGATTTAGTGCGACAAACCGTTTAGTAGGGCGACCATTCCTTCGTAGTCAGCCGTACTGTTTTTACGTGTTTTTAGGAAGCGTAAGATGGATAGCAAAAAGATTATTGCACTGCTGTTATTGTTAAATATATATAAAAGAAAAAGAAGATTCTGGGTTCATCCATTTATTACGATTATGAACTCTGATGGGAACTATTTTACTCAAAAGTACTATGCGTTGAGAACTGAAGAAGATAAATAAAACCGATATGCCTTAAACCTATTTACTACATGCAAATTATAAAAAAAAATTTTTTTTAATATTAATTAAAATACTCTGGACTGAAATTTGCTAGGCAACCCATATGGATTATACTTATTGACATATTAAATTAAATATAAAATACGTTTCATTAAATAAGCATCTCGGTGAAGGTCGTTGTATATCGGGATCTTAGACCATTATATTAATTATTAACGCCCGAGCGAACGCTGACATTTTCCCGCGACACTCGAAAAAATCAACCAATCGTGGGGCTTGTCAATAAAACTGTTATTTACATAACTACATTAAACACACATCCGTTTTATCTACTTTGGGTACTCATAATTTAAGATATTAATAATACACATCATCTATATATTTAATTACCTGATTTATAACAAACTCGTATTTATTGTGTAAATCTCCGGATATTGTTGTGAAAAGTATTACAGACCAAGCGGTTTCTGTGATTGGCTAGCGTCTCGCGGGAAATAATAAATATTGAGGACAATCGTGACGCGTACAATAGAAGTGTTATTTATATTCTAATTATTAAATACAATAATTACATATCAACTATATCGATATAAACTAACCATAAATAGAAATATTAATTATGGTAGATATAGTAACGTACTCGTTATGTAATTTTAGAAACCCTGACAATAATTTTAACCCAATTTACCAAACAATCCATCCAAAGGGGCCACTATAGGTATTCGCCGCCATAGGTATTCGTATCCGTTTCCGGCTGTCAAAACACGCACACGTAATAGTAGTCGCTCCAGACGAAAACTCAACAAAAATACAGAAAAACTAGGAAAAACGTAGTGTACTATCACAAAATAGGTTAAAAGTAATAGTGGCATTTCTTTTAAATATAAAACATTGTGTGAAGTGACGCATTAAACATTAAGATCTTGTGTTAAACTCGCGAAACTTTGAAGGTTATTTGAGCCGACATAATACTTTGACAATCAATATTAGTTAAAGTGACACTATTGATATATACCAAATTGTTGCCATAATTAAAAAGTACAAGCTACCAACGACTAAGTTCCGATTCGTGATCGTAAAGAATGGATCATAATCTTATAGCACTTTTTGATGACATGAAGATAGAAATGCAAAAACAATCGAATTTAATTATGCAAAAAATGGAGGAGAAACTAAACCCTTTAGTAAAAGCAATAACAGACTTGAAATCCGAAAACAAGAACCTACGCGAGAAAATTGATAATTTAGAGCGCGAAAACCGTAAAAATAATATTATAGCCTTTGGATTTAAAGAGGAAGAGATTTCAAAACAAAATCTAATAGAAATAGTCACTGAAATGATTCGATCAAAAATAAATATAGATATCGGCCATAACGACATCAATAATATATACCGCCTAGGAAAAAAAGGGGGTAGATAACGAAAAACCAAGACCTGTTATCATCTCTCTTTTACATGCTTGGAAAAAAGAACAAATCATGAGAAATAAGAAAAAGCTGCCCGGAATCTATTTAAATGAAGACTATCCTAAAAATGTACTAACTAAAAGAAGGGAACTCCAACAACAGTTGATAGAAGAAAGACAGAAGGGAAAGTATGCAGTATTGAAATATGACAAACTCATCATACGGGATAGCATACAAACAAAAGAGAAACGCAAACGCGAGCGTTCTATGTCAATTTCACCACCAAAATACGCCTAAAAGAGCAATTTGCAACCCACAGCAACAACAAAAGCAAGCAGGTCAAACGCCTTTGACATGATGCGAGGAAGAAGTAACTCTCTCACCACCCCTACCCCCACATCAAAACAAACATAGGAACTCGACAGCTGGATAAACAAAGAACATAAAAATATAAGTAAAACATTTAGAAAAACATTCCCCAATCCGGCTGGCAACAAACAAAAAATAAACAAGAGTGTTGAAAATTGGAACTTACAACGTGAGAACTTTAGCATTAACAGAAAAATTGATAGAACTTGTGCACTCATTGAAAAATATTCAAATAGATGTATTAGGTTTAGCGGAAGTCAGAAAAATGGGATCTAATATAGAAGAACATCATGAACACATCCTCTGTTACATGGGAAACACACCTGGATTATATGGAGTTGGGTTTCTTATCAGTCGAAATCACAAAGCCAATATTATCGAGTTCACTGGTATATCTGAACGGGTAGCCCTGCTGCGCATGAAATTTGGAGAACACTGCATATCACTCATCCAAGTCTACGCACCAACCGAAGAAGCAGATGAAATTGAAATCAATAAATTCTATGAAGAACTTGAAAAAGCCCATGAAACACCTGACAAAAATGTATTGATTTTAGGAGATTTCAATGCTAAGATTGGTCAACCCAAACATAAAGAAAAACTTATACTAGGCAATTATGGTTATGGCAAGCGTAACCAGAGAGGTGAAAGACTAATCCAATATGCCTTTGAACACAAGCTCTGTATAATGAACACTTACTTTAAGAAAAAACTTAGTCGTAGATGGACCTGGATTTCGCCTAATGGACAAACAAAAAATGAAATAGATTTTATAATGAGTAATCACCCCAAGTGCATAATAAACATGGAAATTATAAATAAAATAGATTTTCCATCTGACCATCGATTAGTCAGAGCCTCTGTAATACTGACAACACCAACTTTATCAAGAAAGAAATTTGTAATGTTACCAAAATCTCCTGAAACCGACAATGAAAAATCAGAGTATTTGAAGAACCTAAGTGATAATATTAATACCCGCCTTAAAGAGATATACAATAATAATGATGTTCAAACTTACTATGACGCCCTAGAATTAATAATTAAACAAAGCCTAAAAATAGATAAAGACCACAAAACAAATAAAATAATTAGCAAATCTACTCAAAAACTAATAAATGAACGCTCAATTTTAATCAAACAAAAAATTAAAAACAAGGAAGATAAGATCAAACTTAAGAATTTATTCAAAGCAACAAATAAAGCCATAAGAAAAGATTATAAAAACCACAGAAAACATATTTTAGAAAAAAACCTAAAGCAATATCGAAGTACGAAGAGCTAAACACACACAAAAATTGGATAACAAAACTAGAAAATGGACACAGAGAAATGAAAACTAGAAAAGGAATCATGGAGTGTGCTACTGAATTCTATAGAAACCTCTACGAACATCAGGATGACAGAGCAGTTGGCCCAACCACCAAGAATTCGGAGGAAATACTGCAAGCCAATAGCCGCGTACTGACTGAGCGAGCAGCCTCGCGAGGCAAATCCTCGGTCGGTCAAGACGTGCCTCGCCCGAGGCAAACGCACGCGCTGCCTCGCCCGAGCGTGCCGCGGCCCGAGCCGAACGTTGTCGGTTTTTGTCGATGTTCAAAGGCGCCTCAGTACGTTTGCCGCGCTCACTCAAGACGGTAGTGTTTTGCCTCGCTTATTCGTTGCGTGTTAGTAGTGCGTCATGGATAAAGAACAGTGTCTTAAATTAATACGACTATATGGTGAATATAGACGACTTTGGGATGCGCAATGTCCTGATTACACAAATAGAGGACTAAGGGAAGATGCATGGAGAAAAATAGCCAGGAAATGAACCTTCCAATAGCTGAATTAAAGAAAAAAATGGACTCTTTACTAGGGTCTTACAGGAGGGAAAAGTCGAGAGAAAAAAAAAGCCGAATCACAGGATCAGGTATTTATTATTTAATGTTTATGATTAGGGTTAACAACATTCATTTTATTATATTCAAAGTTACATCGGTTTTTATATTATTTCTAATATTATTTCTAATATTATTATTTTTTATTTTATACTGCAGGTCGTGGTGAAATATATGTTTCGAATTGGTATGCCTATGAAGCCTTCAGTTTTCTAGGAGATAGAAATCACCCAGGAAATACACAAGATACTTTAGGTGAAGAAGTGAGTACCTATTATTTACTGATAATTATTCTGCCAAGAAATTGCTCCGTTTGTTATGAAATGTCTCCCTAAATGTGAACGTATTTCTTTTATATTTGTTGATCCTCGCCGTGGTATGGCTTGAATAGATAGCATTGATGACATTTCTGTATCCTGTCGCCATCGGCCGGGTATTACTGTCCCTTCAA